TATTATAATCCAATATAATCTGGGTTCTAAGAGTGATTTCTGGGATTTATTTTCCTAATTTGTTCTACTGAACCCGATGCTTTTTTTTATGATTATACCTTTGTTTGGGGCTGAAGCTCCATCGGCGCCAGCGGTGGGACTCGTGTCAGCTGGCCTACTGCCCTCAGCCGCCGCGCCCCCCTCCGCGCCTGGATTGTTGCGAATGAGCTTAGAGGTGAGCGAGGACACGCCGGTGACGGCCCAGCCGGCCCAGCTGGAGGAGGAGCCTGCGGGCTGAGCGCACGAGCCCACGTCCTTTTCTGCAGGAGGGACAAGACCAAGGGCTTAAAGTTAACCGTTGGATTCTTGGGATGAATTTACTTCAGAAAAACTCTTCAAATCCTAACAGACAGAAACATGGAGGGGCGCAGCTGTAGCTTTGGTTCTTACCGATCTCAGTCAGTTTGCTCGGATCGTCTGAAACAGCCTCCAGTTTGGAAAGGAAACTCTTAATGGCTTTAAAAGCCTGGACGGAAAAAAAAGATAAATCTTAAATCAGAAACAGAAATGTCATGAACTGAAATCAAGCTGAAAGTCACATTAATGACTCTTCCTTGTTTTAAGTTGACTTATTTAAAGAACCAATAAAACAGCTTCAGTTATGCAACTTTACGAGTTTTAATTTTAAAGCCAAAAACAAATAGGTTTAGCAGGGTTAATGTTTCATGTTACAGCATGAAGGCAAACATCACTATAATATTCCTTTTCTTGTGTAAAGATCATAGTTTTCTAACTGATAAATACTTTACAAGTTAATTATTTAAGTCTTTTTAATGAGCAGAAGTAATGCCAGTAATCAGGAACATCATAAAAGCTTTATAAAGTTTTGTACCTGGTCCCTGACGTTTTTATCAGAATCCACCGTAACGGCGCAGAGGGTGGGCAGGATTCGGCCGGCGATCTCGGTCACGCTGTAATAGTTGTGAGTGGCAGCGAAGCCCAGGACGCCAGCCGAGCGGGAGGCAGGAAACGGGTCTTTAGTGGCTCGACAAAAGGCAGAAATCAGAACTCGCTCTCGAGTCTGGGAAAGGAAACGACAGACAGCTTTCTTTTCATTTACGTGTTAAAACATTTGCCGGGCTAAACGGTGACGTGTTTTTTTTTTTTATTGTTTGTTTACCGTGGCGTTGAGGTAGGAGGCGATTTTGCCCAAACACACGGTGGTGTTGCACCGGATCGGACCTTGCTCGTCTCTGGCCTGCAGCCGGGCGAAGTGTCGCATCAGCTCCTGGTTCAAGTTGCTCTCGTTCAGTTTAGGAGCCAACAGCAGCATCGACTGCAGGGACAGAGGAGAAAAATCAAAGACTGAGTGTTCCGTCAGGTGAACAGAAACAGGGACATATTTCAGCTCTAATCTCTGTACCTTAACGGTCTGTTCTCTGATGGCAGGGTTGGTGTCTGTGAAGCCGTGAACAACGTGAGGAAAAATCTGAGAATTAACCGCCGCCTCGTTCAGATACTGAATAAACTGCTCCATCTGTGGGGGGCAGAGAGCAAACGTTACAGCTGCCAATTAAACAAGGCCTGGAAATATTAAACAAGAATGTGTGTGTGTGTGTGTGTGTGTGTGTGTGTGTGTGTGTGTGTGTGTGTGTGTGTGTGTGTGTGTGTGTGTGT